CAGCGCCGAGCCCCGCTCCCGCTCCCGCTCCCGCTGGCCAGCATGAGCCTGACGGCCGAGAGCCACCGCGTGGCCCTGAGCGACGGCAACAGCATCCCGCTCCTCGGGCTTGGCACCTACTCCGACCCCAAGCAGGTCAGTGCCGGCCCCCCCCCGCCGCCTGGGTGCAGCTGGCAGCGCCCGGCCGGCTGGGGGCCCCGGGCCGGGGGAGAGCCCGGCCCTGCTGCCAGGGGGCATCTGGGCACCCTGGCTGCGGGTCCTGGCAGCCCGGCCGATACCTCGAGGGAGGCGAGCGCGAGGCCGTGCCACCTGTGCTCTCCGGGCAGAAAACGTGCCAGCGGGCGCCCGAGCCAGGCAGAACGGCTGCGCTGAGCTAAAGGCTGAGATTTGGGGGGGGGCTTTGGGAGGGACTTGGGCCATGTTGCCGCCGGGCTGAGGCGCTTTCAAAAGGCACGCTCCTGCAACAAAGCCCCAGATTCCTGCATCCTGACTGCTGTGGCGCCCAGAGCATCAGGCCAGCAGCAGCCGAGCGGGGCCAAAGGGGCTATGCTCTTTGTTCCTCAGTGTCCCTGCTGCACGTCCCCTCAGCCTGTTGCTACCCTTGCTCTATCCAGTACATTGAAGCCTACCCTTTCTGCCTGTCTGCATGCTTTGCCTGAACTACTTAGCCACTTCCCCCAACCTTGGGTGGTAGACTCTTATTATTATTATCTGTCCTTTCAGGAATGTTTCTTCTGTTTGAAGAGGTAGTGGAGAAACCATGGGTACAATCCGGTGCCCTGTTAGAACAGAACTGGAGTGAAGATCTGTAGCTCCCCTGCCATCAAAATATGCCTGAACCAAACTTTCTTTTCTCTTCTTCTCTTTTCTGCTTACCTGGCCAACAGTTGTAGCTTCCCTGTGGCACATGCCTACAAAGTAAAAACATCAAGTTAAGCACAATAGAAGGGGGAGTAAGCAACACCCTTGTGCACCCAGCAGGAGTGCTTCTAGTTTGGAGACTTAAAGCAGATTTCCTTAGCTGAGAAAAACAGGTTTATGCACCTATTTGCAGAATAAGAGGTGTGATCTTAATCTAAGGGGAAATTTCAGGCCAACACACTAGCGGAAAGAATGCGAGCAGTGATAAGAGTTCCCGCACTTCTTAATACCGAATGCTGGTGATAGCTCCTTAATGGTAAGTGAAAACAAGATCATACTTTCTAACCACACAATGCTGTGGCAAAGCAGGATGCTCTATTAATCAAAGACAGCAACCTGGAAACTCTGATTAACTGTTTGTTAGATGTTTGAAATGCTGCTTGAATCTTCGACATGAACCTTCCAAATGTCTTCTAGATAGACCAGCCTGGTAAAGTAGGAGCCACACCAAGATGTCTGTGGCAGGGAGTCAGGACTTGTGTGTAAGACTATCAAAACACTTGGTAATGGCCAGACCAGAACTGAAAAGTGAGGTGGTATGAGGATAGTCTTGTTGAAAAGATTTCACTAGGTCACAGAGGATTTTCCCATCAACTGGATATAGAATAGAGAATACAAATTTATCCCTCACAGGAAACTGGAAATCCTCTATGCAACAGGTTTTTGTTTTTCATTTTCATAATGTGTAATTTGGAGGGAATGTGTCGATTCATTATCAGCCAGGATGTGGGTAGCAAAGAACATTCCTCTTCACTGGAGTGTATGTCAAGTTTCTCTCTCTTTAATCCTGTTATTTCCTATATGTTTTCTCATTAGTGCTTTGCTATTTTAATTGATACTTCCAGTTCTCATTTTTAGAGAGGCTATCTAAAATAATTCCCTTAAAACTACAAAGTTTAGACAGCTTTGTTTTGTGTGGCTGCTCAGTGAAGTGAAGGGCTACTATAAAATGATTATAGCTTTGATCACCTGCAGAAAGGAGAGCAAAATGTACTGGAATCTTGCCTAATCTTGCACTTTAGGATGTAAGCTGATGGCCTGTCAGTTTAGATAATAAATCCTTTCTCCCAACCATTTAGAGCATAGTACAGTACAAGAACCAGGGAAAGTAATGGGCTCCCTCTTTCCATCCTGTGGCATTTGATAGCATCTGCTGTCAGAGACAACGTAGACGGAACAATGCTGTAGTCTAGCGTAGCAATTCCCTTATTGCTTTTCTTATGGCTTACACATCAGAGTGGGTTACACACGGAATGTGCAACCAGCAGCACCCTTCATTCCATCGTTACTGGTCTTTGTTAGCTTTTGTAGGAATCATTCTCTGGTTTTTGCTTTCTGATTGAGGTCTGCCAATATTTCCTTTCCTGGGGACAACAGCCAGTTCTTCCTGCAGAGAAGTTGGATACGTTCTGCTGGTTGCATTTTCCAGGAAAAAGATGTACAGGACAGTTTCCTTTACAATATTAAACAATTCTAAAAATATTCCCTTATCCTCCGACTTTGTGGACTCAGCCGCACTTCCCTACAACATTTTTCTTAAACAAACACTGTTTTCTACCCAGCTTCAGTTTCTCAGACACTTGTTTTACCAACTTAAATCAGAAAACAGGCAAAGGAAAGACAGTTAGGCTTCTAGAAACCTTAATGCAAAAACCTGTTTGCAACTTCAGGACTACTGAGGGGGAGATTTTGAGTCTCTGGATATATCTACTTTCTCATTCCTATAGCTAGCTAAGATTCCTAAATAACTACTCTGAATTGTAAATGATTGGTTAGAACTAGATTATTTTATCCATAGCTTGGCCACCACAGTGTGTGTGGTGCCTAACATGAAATTCTGTTGGAAGATAGCTCTTTTATCCCCATCAACTTGGAGTCCTCCTCCAGGCCTCCCTCCTTCAACTGCAGTGGCAGGATTCCACTGCATGGGCCAGATAAGGGAAAGCAACAGTCTTGAGTAGCCTAAGTCAAGAGTGTTCAACCCCCAGCTTGCTGGCCAGATTCAACCAATTGAGCCATGTCACCTAGCCCATGGGGTTCCACCCAAGTCTGGAAATTTGGTGGCAGGAGAGTGGTGGCACTGCTCCCCTACATCCAAGTTTCCAGATCTGTCAGGAGCCCTGGGACCTGCATGCTAGATCTAGTGCCCAGTCCTAGCATGCAGGGTCTGGCAGAAGTAGTGCCAGGCCCCAGGCCCAATCCTGGAATGCAAGGGGCTGGAAGGGAGCAGTGCCAGGCCCCAGGGCTCAATCCCAGTGTGAGGGGCAGGGCAGGAGCAGTGCCAGGTCCCTGGGATCCAATCCTAGCATGCTGGAGTGAAAGGCAGTATCAGGCCTCCTGGGACCAAAGCCTGCTCTGCTCCCAGCAATTGAGGCAAGGTAAGGGGTGCTGAGTCCCAGGGCCAGATTCTGGCATGAGAGGCTCAATCTGGCCTGCAGACTGGCTACACCCCTGGGGTCAAAAGGTTGAGCACCATTGCCTTAAGTGTTACCTCCTGAGCTCCTAGCTGCTGCCAGTCTGTGTGAAGCTGGCAGCATTGATGCAACTCAAAACTAAGTGAAACAAGATGTGACAAGATCTGCTAATTCTCCTTTGGCTGGATCTGCCTTCAGCTCCTGATCAACATAGTACCGTATTTAATCTAATCCAAGATGACCCTGAATTTAAAACAACCCCCCAAGAATTGGCCTCTGTATATTGAAAATTTATACATTTGTTAAAGTTTTCCAGGTATAGAATTTAATTGTTGGAACATTGTCTTAAATTTGTCATCTCCTTCCCCTCCACCCTCCCCACACACACACTGCTACAGCAGGGAAAGCAGTGACTGGGCAGGTCAGGTAGTTGGGGGGGGGGGGGG